GTCGTGGGGAGGCCGTGGTGGGTGTGTGGTACAGCGCGTGGGCCCCTCACCTGCTGTGGGTTTGTGTTCTCGTTACAGCGTTGATTAGCCTGTCCTTCGGGGGAGCGGTGGGACTCATGTTCCTGATGCTTGGATGCGCCCTTCCCCAGTACAAGTAACGTGCATTCTTTATTCTTCATTTCTTTGTGCGTGTCTGCAACTCTAGAATAGTTTGACTTTCGTAATTACAGACTAAGAAGTCCTTTTGTGTGTAGGAGGGTTTGATGTTTGGGTTTGTTTTTTTTTTTTTCTTCAAAAGATTGGAGTGTGAAAAAAGACCGTCCAGGAGTTAATTCACCATGAAAGTGAAGGCAAGGGAAGTTAAATTACCAGGCCTGGCTCCAGACTGTTAAAGAATAGACTGTCCTAACTTGTCTCCAGTGTTGTCTCTCTGTGGTTAAGTGTGCACTATGAGAGAAGCATTTGCATTTTCTCTGGTCTCTTGGTGGTAGCTGGGCTGTTGGTGACTACCAGGTGGACCCTTGGCTGTGTACCACGCTTGGTAATGTAACATCTGAAATAATGGCAGCTGCTACCTGTACTTTTGGTCTGTTGATTCCTGTCTCTTAGTTTCTATGCGATCTGAAGCAGTAGACCTAAAGTTCAGAAAGTTAGGCCCATGGCTTTGACCCTTTGCAAGTGAATGCTGACTTCACAGAAAATCTTTTTAACAAACTTATTTAATATTAAATAAATATCAAATGTCTTATTGGTAGTCCTTCCGTTGATGGTCGAAAATTGCATTTTTCTACATCTATGACTAGCTTTCTTATGCCAGCTTTATTTTGTTTTAAAACCAGGGCGGGTGACACAAACCTTTAGGAAGTAGATGGTTATGCAGTCATCCTTCAAACAGTGCAATGAAGTTTTATTGAAATAATGTGCAGCTGTACTGGTGTGTCTGAGAAATCTAGTCGGGCAAGCCGCAAGCAGTACAAGAAAATGTTGCCAAATGTGATGGTGTAATTTTTGTAGGTTTTTGTTGGTTACACTTAGATTTAAAAAGTCTCAGTGCCCCGTAGCTGCTGAGTGATGTCTGAGAACGGTACTCTGTTCCATGGCAAAATGGCGAGAGGACACTCCAAAGGTAGCTCTGCAACTCTGAAGTAAAGCTGATGGGTTAAACTTAAGAGTTAAGCTCATCTTGTGAGGTGGTGTTAGATTTGGGCTTGCTTAGTGAGATCTGGCTTTATGAATATCCTGTTAGTGAGGTCTCTGCTGCCGTTGAGGTCAACTGAAGCCGCTCACAGACACTGTCTGTTGGATTGATGTCAGCTTGTTCCAGAGTGAAGGATTTGCTTTGCCTGGGCTTGTGTCTGTCTTTCCTGAATATGGATGCTGCATGGGGAAAATGCCTTGCATTGATTTTAGGAAGAACTGGAAGTAAATCGAGTTGACTTTAACTTTTCTTCTCCTTTCTTTTTCAGCCAGTACTGGCCACTGTTTGTTCTGTTTTTTTACATCCTTTCTCCTGTCCCGTACTGCATAGCAAGAAGATTAGTAGATGACACAGATGCTACAAGTAATGCCTGCAAGGAGCTAGCAATATTTCTTACAACAGGCATTGTTGTCTCTGCATTTGGGCTACCAATAGTGTTTGCCAGAGCAGAACTGGTTAGTAATATTTCAATCTATGACTTTTTTTGTCTAGAAAACTGTTCTTTTCGGTTTTTAACTGAAGGTTAAGCTCTCATGCACCAAGCAACTTTTATACACACATTCTTAAGATGCTTGCAGTGGAAACAGAGTAAGAGGCTTTTTGTCAAGAAAAAACTAATACTAGAAACGGAAGCACGGCAAAATGTTGTGATTGCCAATTTCTTCATGTGGTCATAGAATAAACTCTTAACAGCCTATATGAAATGCGAAGAAAATGAGATAGAAAATAGTGTGAAAACTTAACAGGCAAGTAACCAAATATAAGTGTATAGAACACTCTGAAGGCAATTTGTGGAATAGTTGGGCTAAAGAAGCATGAATAAACAATGCATTTTTGCATTCACTGTAAATGATATTGGTGTTATTTTTTAAATTTCCAAGTTGTCATTGCATCTTTCCCAGTATATGGCTTTTCACTAAAATCCTTTAAAATTATTTACATACTTTCTTGCATCATGGAGCTGTTGCTGAACTTTGTCTGTAATGTGACATTAAGATGTTACCTTTTGTCTTGTCAGTATTCAGTTCAAAACGTGTCTTAACTAAATTCCCCTTGTTCACAGATTTACTGGGGCGCATGTGCACTTGTTCTTACGGGGAATACAGTCATCTTTGCCACGATCCTAGGATTTTTCTTGGTCTTTGGCAGCAATGACGACTTCAGCTGGCAGCAGTGGTGAAAGCAACATAAGAGAACTATCACAGGCATCGTGTCATGCAGTGGCCATCCATACAAATGAGAGAATGGGCAATAAAGAGAAGTAACGTAGCAAGCCTCTTGAGTATTCTAGATGCTCCCTTTCACCTTGTTCGTTCTGAGTGTACTACTGTTGCTGACAGGGTTTCTACATTTTTATGAAGTGGAGAGATGATTGATTTCATTTTTACCTATGGTATGTTTTTAGGTGCTCTCTTGGTTTAAAATTGTCATCCTTCTGTCTGGTGTTTATGTGAAGCTTTAAATTTGGAACAAGAACATTTAAATACGGTTTCAAAGAAGATTTAAAGTTTTGTTTTATTTTTTTTTAAGTTAAGCATTAATACTATGTTTCAAAATAACTTTTTTTATATGGTGATTAAATTACATAGAAGCTGAACTGAGGTAAGAGATTTGTTCACCACCATTGTCAATTACCAGATCAATAGATCGTTGCTCTATTTTAGTAGAGGCAAGATGGGGCGGGGAGTACCAGTTGCAGGTTTTTCTTCTGCCCATACCTCAAACTGGGTAATGAATGTTGATAGCCTTCATTTAAAGAGGAAGGCTGAGGAGCAGGTAGAGTAATTTGGGAGAAGTCCTAAATTTTAACACCACTAGCACTTTTACCTGCTTTGTTACCAATTGTGTGGATGTGACATTCAAATACTCTGTAAATGTATTGATGCTGTGGCATACAAAACTAAATTGTATTGTAGGGGAAGGAAAAATTATGTTTAAATTCCATTTTTTTAAAAGATATCTTTTGAACTCTTTATAAGTATTGTATGGTTTTGAACTTTTGTGTCAGCTTTTTACCACAAAGGTGGTAAAATGGTCATTCATGGAATTACTGGTCTGTGTTAATTTGAAGCATACACAGAGCTATTTCCTCATTCCCCTTTTTAATTTATTTTATACATAGTATATATATATAAAATAAAACATCTTTTAAAATGTAGATTAAAACTTTGTGTTAAACTTGCTTAAGAATGTTGGGTTTTTTTTTCCCTTCACATGATGCAGTTGAGGCATGGCTTTTTCGGAAGTCACTGGCTGAACTGATTTCACTGACTGTTCTTATGCACTATCGGTTAATAAGATTTAATGTTATGTCTGTAACTGTAGCTTGCGTTCTATAAGATTGCACATGTAGCTTCAAATATTTCAGACAAGTTTTCTGCATACCTCTCAATTGTCTGGATTTTTCATTTAAAGAAATCTGCCATTAGATGTTGCATTACGGGATAGTTGATCAGTGCCAGTTAACCAGGTTTGATTGTACCACTTGCAGTGATAAACTTGACCGGACATACTTCTAAACTGTATTTTTATTCAGCTCTTTAAAAAAAGTCTAGGAAACTTGCTCTGCATAATTAAAAGCGGACGATCGGTTAGGATGAAAAGGAACAGAATTGCAGGTCTTAGTTGTAGTATTTAGATGTAAACCAAGTATGAAGCTTGAATATTTGAAGTCAGATGGTAACAATACTTATGTGATATGCTCAAGGAACTTACACCAGCAGGGGTGTAGCTACCTACACGAGCTGCTTTGTTAATGATGTCCTGTGTGTAAAATAAGAGGTCCGTTTTATCTGTGCTGGTAGAGGAACAAGCAGGTGCCAAGACCCTAGGGCAGAAGCCAGTCTATAGCAGGTGGTCTTTCAGCTGTAAGGACATGCTTCGCCAGACTGCCTGCGACGGTGACACTCAGAGGTGCACAACGGCTTTAGAATCACTCGTTTCATCACTTTTTGAGCAAGACTTCTGCATCCCTGTCCCCAGCACGACAGATGCTTCGGAAGATCTTCCAAACCAGTGGCTAAATTTGCAGTCCTTGCGGAGGAGGATCGCTTAGGACTTGTACAAATCTTCTGAATCGGTTGCTAACTCCGTTTTTGTCGTCAGGAACCGTTTTCTTCTTCATTCCCATCCTGCGAGGCCTGCTTCTCCATGTGATGCTACTCTCTGGATCACTGGGCATAGATCTGACCGTGTATGCATTGGCTGTGCATTTTTTGTATGTTAATTGCATCACGGCATTACCTTCTTTTGCTTGCGTGCCGAGTACATGCAGTATTGCTCTGATTTATGAGCTAGACACTTGAGAGGTATGGTCCTTCCATGTGATATGCACTGAGATAGCATTGCCATCCTTCTCGAGGGAAAAACTTTGAATGATAAAAATTTTAAATAGCCATCTGAGTTCTGTATGTTTAATGAAAAATACTCTAATAAAAGAGTATTTTGTTTAAAGTGTTAATTGGTTTTTTCTTTCTTTAATGTGGTTGTCATTCCTGTCGAAGAGGTGTACCACTCAGTAGTCCTTCAGAGTGAGTATTTCTGTCAGTTTACCTCACACTGCTCTATAAGAAGATGCTCGATCATCCCGTGCTATACGAGTTGCACGGAGCCGGCTGTGCTGGTTGTGTCTCACCCCTGCAGTTCATCTTCAGCTTGTGCTTGGAGTCCCAATTCTGATCTGTTGTTATGCAAAGCAATAGCCACCTTCACCCTCTGAGGTATTTATAGCTTTGTAATTTTTATTTACAGACCCCAGCCTTGGCAGTGTTTGTAATCATTCGTAACATTTCTGGCATTTGAAAACTGACGGCTGAGGGCAGTCTTTTAGCAGAAGAGAGATTGGGGGAAAATGTTTTTGGGGGAGGCAGTCACCCCATTCCCACACATAATAATTTTGGTAATATCTGTTGAATTTTTTTTTTTTTAGTTTATTGTAAGAAGTGAAAAAGTTGTTTAAAATATTAACTAAAAAAAATAATTAAAAACTTCTTCAGTTAAAGGAGCAGAAGTGGAGCCGAGTAACGGAGCAATACCCAGGACGCTACAGCTGCACACGGTGTTTTCATGAACCCAAACTGAGCTCGATGCTGTGAAGCCTGAGCGTAGGGC